TTAGGTAATTCGTTCAGTAGGGAGCGTGCTGTACATGGCGGTTCATTAATTTTTTATTAGAAAGGATTTAACTTATAGGAACCGTACTGAGATTTTAGGCTTCTCTGTTGAGCGAACAATAGAAATAGCATGTGTGGAGTTAGAGCAACTTATTGTACTTGAAAAAATTATGAACGAAGTCTTGCAGAAAGTATGTAAGTCAAACAAAAGTGTAATTGTGTGTGGTGATTTTAATGTAAATATATTGGAAGATACATCCTTGAGTTCAATATTTAAAAACCTATTTGGGTCATACAATCTTGATAATATTTTTATGGAGCCTACTAGGATCACAGCCACCACAGTCAGGTGCATAGATAATATATTTACTGACATACTGCCACACACCAAAGGAATAATAAACAAACTACATTCTGATCACTGTGGACAGATGTGTGCTTTTGCTATGAAAAACAGAATAGTAGTAACACGAGATATTACTGTAGTACCTAAAACTGTAACTCGTATGGAAAATTTCAAAAATAAACTCCTGAGTAAACTACCCCGCTTGGGTTATAGTGATGATCCTAATCAATTATATAACGCTTTTTTTTAACATGTTTTGTTCAAAATTTAAATTTTACTCCTAAGAGCTTGTCAGTTAAAGGTGCTACAACCTTCAGTGAATGGGCCACCGTAGGTATATATAAAAGTAGAACAAGGCTTTATGAGCTTTATGAAGAAAGAAATTATAATTATAATATTAATATCTAGATGATATTAATCTTTTAATGTATTTATTCAATTTAATTTTTCGCCCATATTTATATACAGTATGTGTTATTTATGTCAGTTATTTATTATATTTCATATTTTACATCAATACACCTATCTTTTCAAGGTTTACCAATCAGTTTTAATATTATGTATTGTTATTAGCATATTCATCCACTCTATGTATCTACCGTGGATAACTTTTATTGGCTACTCATGTAATCATAGTTTACTACCTAGTTAAGAATTGCAGCTGTTGTTATCCCTAAAAAAAAAAAAAAAAAAATACTAGTATGGAATTTCGAGAATATGTCAAACAATATTCTAATTTATTTAAAAAAAATGTTATTCTGCTAAGGTTAACTATTTAAGATCTAAAATTAGTAATAGTTCAAATAAAATTAGAATGACCTGGGAAATAATTAATACAGAAACTGGTAAAGCAAAGAACAAATGTAATAATTACAGCCTTACAATTGATAATAAAGTAATTAATTCCGATATAGATGTCGCCAAAGCTTTTGAAAAAAATTTCACAGACATTCCAGTCTCAATAACAGAATCATTGAATTCGTCCCCCACTATTGCAGAATCTTTATTCAAAGAGAATATTAACATTTGTAATACTGAGTTTAGATTTAATTGTATCACTGATAGAGATATAATAAAAACGTTCAATGCTCTTAGTGTTAAGAAAACCGCCGACCTTTAGGGTAATTCTGTACAAATAACTAAATCAATTATTAGCGTAGTTGCATCAGAGTTAGCCTTAATTTTCAATAGGTGCATTGAATGTGGTGTATTTCCTGATTTGATGAAACATAGTAAGATCATTCCTTTATTCAAGGCGGGTAGCACGTCTGATCCTACAAATTATAGACCAATTTCAGTGTTGCCTACTTTCAGTATAATTTTTGAGAAGATTATACTGGATCAGCTACAAACTCACTTTAGTGCAAGTAAAATTCTACACAGGAAACAGTTTGGATTCAGAAGAGTTCGCTCGACAAGTGATGCCGGTGTTGAACTTTTGGAAAATATATTTAGTGCCTGGGAGGATAAACAGGATGCCCTGGGTGTTTTTTATGATTTATCTACAGCATTCAACTGCGTTTTCATGAAACATTAATCAGGAAATTGCATTACTATGGAATTAGGAACACTGCTTTGGATCTTCTTATCTCTTATTTGGGTAATAGGTGTTCAGGCCACGCCTAACTTACTACAGCTGGCAATCACAGTGCGCACTTAATGTGCAACAAATACATCAGGCGCATCATCGTGACGGTGTTTATAATTAGTTTATGTAACAAATAAATGTATATAATAGGACCGAAAAGGGTCTCGAACACCCACTTTCTTCTTGTACTCGAAAGCTGTCGCTGGTCTTATACTAAAATAAATTCACATATGTAATTACAATCAAGAAGTTTTATTATAAGGAAGGTGTCTGCACATACATAATTGGCGACCGTGACAGGACTGCATATAAAAATCAGCATATTTATTCGTCGAGCAAAATTGCTGCGATTTATTCGGATTACACAAGGACGAAAGTCGTCGTGAGGATTGAGCAAGGCGAATTTGGATACAACTGGAGCATCGATACAGCTAAAGTATTGACCCAGGACTACAATTACTGAAGATCAGCAACCACAAGGCAGCTTCGGGTACTGGCCATCTCGGATCACTTTCAAAAGATAAGTGTCCCATCCATTCTAAATTCCATCTGACATCCCAATTCCTCAACCCTTTTACCCTATCTCATTCAACTTCACGAGGTTTCAAAATTCTTTCCAATTGTGCGATAGTTTCTTTATGTACTTTATATATTATGTAAAAAATTATATTGTGTAAAAAAGGGTGTGTCGAAATTTAAATATTTTTAGGGCATTAAGAAGTTTTAAATGTGCTTTAATAATTAAATAAATCATATTTAATACGTATATCGTTCTATATAAGAGTGATATAACGATATTTAGCTGTAGATTACGAAGTTATTCGTTTTGTTGATACTTATATACATCTACCGACGTATTTTTTACATGTATAAAAAAGTTCCTGTGCTTTAACTTTGGCGTAGCATCTGCCTTATAAAAAATAATCCTTTTTCTAAAGTAATTTACTAAAAATTCCAGGTTGTGGTAATCATCACGCTGCGCTGTCGCAGTACTGCGTAGCTACGTACCGACAGAGCGTGCAGTTAATATCTACTGCAAAACCGGTTTCTTATCAGATAGAATAGAACTGCCACATTGAGGAGCGAACGTGAGATTGTTTTGTTTGATTGGATTTTTTTATAGTTAATGTTGAATTTTATGCTTTGAATTCGGTTTATAAGGTTGAGTTATTCCGTTTTGTGTTCACTGAATATTTTTGTTACCTTTATTTAGTACGATAATAAAATACTTTGAGTCACACGACGACATTTAGGCGCTAGTGAGCTAGATTGCTAAGATGTCTGAAGATAAAGCTCAGATCGCCAAGGAATTGCGTGAATTAGCTATTCGGCGTAGCTCAATTAAGGGTCAAATTACCAAGTTTAAAAATTATTTAGACAAAATATCACTATCGAGTTCCATGTCCAATGTGGAGATTGCAGAGTTAACTGTTAAGCTTGGTAAATTTGAACAATTGTCAATCAGATTCGATGAGTTGCAGAGTTGGATCGAGGTCATGAATAGCGACAATTTGGCATTTGAACTTGACGAACGGGAAAAAATCGAGGGCGAAATAGTAAGTGCGCTTGCCTTTGCGAAAGATTTAGTAGGTAATCGTTGCAAGCAGCAATGCAGCCATGATTTTAAAATCTGAACGTCAAGATCCGGGTGTCAGGTTGCCCCGCATAGAAATTGCGAGATTTGACGGCGCCTATTTCAAGTGGCTCGAGTTTAGGGATACGTTTTTGAGCTTGGTTGATGGCAATGCGCAGATTACCCCTGTTCACAAATTTCATTAACTGATTTCATACTTTGAAGGGGAAACCGCGCGAATAATTTCGAACTTGGAGGTATCCTCTAATAATTATAAGGAGGCTTGGAAATTATTGCGTGACCGGTATGATAATAAAAGGTTGTTAATTAATCACCACTTAAATTCATTTTTAATTTTCAACAGTTTAGTAAGGAATCGGAACGATCGCTTAGATTTTTAGTAGATCACGTCACAAAGAATTTAAGAGCATTGTCGAGCTTGGGCCAACCCACTGAGCATTGGGATACCCTCATAATCTTTAATTTAACATCAAAATTAGATAATCGTACACTTATAAAATGGGAGGAATACAGAAACAATTTTGAGAGTGTCCCAACGTTAGAAAATTTCAAAAAAATTCTCGTGGATCGTGCCGACGTACTCGAAGCTTTAAATAGGGGTAAAAATGAGAACAACATTCAAAAATCTAATCAGGTTCGTTTTAATTTAAATATACACACAAATAACCATAATAGTAAAGGTGGAAATTACATTAAATCATTTGCTAACATGAATAAGGAAAATTCAAAATCATTTTTATGCATAATATGTGATCAAAGTCACAAAATATATGACTGCATTACATTTAAAAATAAAACACTAGAAGAACGATGGGCAGAAGTGTCAAGATATAAGCGGTATTGGTCCATATATGTGGTATTGGTCCATGTCCTGAGTGCAAGAAAAAACTTAATCGTCTTTTGCATAAACCAAAGTCAGCAATAAATAATAATCATGTACACACAGACACAAATTGTAACACAATCAATGTTACTACTACAAACCATCAGTACAGTCGAGTGCTTTTATCCACCGCTTTAATAGAAGTACACAACCCCAGCAATAACCAGTATGAAACAGTGCGTGCCCTGTTAGATTGTGGTAGCCAAACTAGCTTTATAACAAAATCTCTAAAGGAAAAATTGTCACTTAAGTCAGTACCTATTACGAGTATTAATGTTATCGGCATTGGCAACCATTCTTTGGATACGGTGAAAGAAAGCTGCATCGCTCGACTGCAATCTATTAATAGTAAATTTAATGTTACACTCAATTTGCTTGTTATGAATGAGTTAACGGGTTACTTACCTAAGGAATCGATTGATATCAAACTAAAATTACCTAAATACGTTAAATTAGCTGATTCAAGGTTCTATAAACCTTCCAATGTCGATATTTTGATTGGCGCTGATCTCTTCTGGGATGTCCTGGGAGGTGAGCAACTTTCAGTTGGCCCCAGTCACGTGAAGTTACATAATTCTAAATTTGGCTGGTTAATAGCTGGTCCTATAAATACAAATAATCTAAATAGCATACATTGCAATAATAGCATAATTAATAATGCTCAAAGGGCTCACAACGAGTCTCATATTGAAACTTACGTACAAAATTCTGGGAGATTGAAGAGCTTCCGCGCAAACCCATCCTGAGTGAAAGGGAAAGGGTTTGTGAAAAACATTTTTTGCAAAATACTGTCCGTTTAGGTAATGGAACATTCATGGTGAAATTACCTCTTAATTGCACTCCAAATAATCTCGGTGAATCCTACAACATTGCAAAAAAAAAGGTTACTAAATCTAGAAGCACGGTTTAAAAAAAATCCTAATCTAAAATGTCAATATGTGGCATTTATGAAAGAATATGAAGAACCAGAACACATGTCATTGGCTTCTAAGGCTAAACCTTTTCCCTCATATTTCCTATGCCACCATGCCGTTTTTAAGGATACTAGCGAGTCCACAAAGATACGTGTTGTTTTCGATGGCTCCGTCCCCACTTCCTCTGGTCTGTCTGTTAACGACATAATGATGGTGGGCTCAAACATACAGGATTCTCTTTTCTCCATACTGATAAGAGCTAGGCAATATAAATATCTATTAATTGGAGATATAGAAAAAATGTACAGGCAGGTGTTGGTAGTTGAATCATCTAGAAATTTACAGCTAGTGTTATGGAGAGAAGATGAGTCCGTGTCGATCAAAACGATGCAATTGAATAGCCTCACTTATGGCACTACAAGTGCGAGCTATTTAAGCACACGCTGTCTTTGGCAGGTTGGTGAGGAGTGTGGGGACGAGACAATCAAAACTATCATACAGCAAGACTTCTATGTGGATGATTTAATAACGGGGTGTGATGACCCCCGGCAATTACGTCACATTCAAGTTGCTGTATCCTCAGCACTAAACTCAGCGTGCTTCAACTTCCGTAAATATAAAACTAACTCAACAGATCTTTTTCAAAATTTAGAAACAAAGGCTCATGACAATTTAACCTTAAGTGAAGCGTCAAGCACGCTGGGTTTAGGGTGGGATCCTAAGTCTGATAATTTTAATTTCCCTATTCAAGTCAATTCCGATAGCAGAGAAATGACAAAAGGACGCATACTGTCAAATGCATTCAAAATATTCGATCCTCTTGGACTCCCTAAGCCCTTACATTATTCAAGCTAAAATGATGTTGCAAGATCTATGGCAGCAAAAGGTAGACTGGGACCAAAATGTCCTACAAGAAATAAAAGATAATTGGTTAGAATTTTCAAATACTTTGAATTCTTTATCAAACTTACAGGTACCAAGAAGAGTTTTGTGTGATTCACCTAAAATCGTAGAAATGCATTCATTTAGTGATGCTTCACAGAAGGCTTACGGAGCGTGTGTATACATGAGAAGCACTGCAAATGGTCGTGACTTCCAGGTAACCCTATTATGTGCAAAATCTAAAGTTGCACGGATAAACCCCATGACTATACCTCGCTTGGAGCTCTGTGCTGCATTATTGGGCGCAAAACTGTGCAACAGTGTCCTTGAGTCCATTCGGTACAAACCATCACGCGTCGTACACTGGTGCGAGTCAAGTGTGGTACTAGCGTGGCTTAAGAGTGACCCCACCAAGCTCAAAACCTTCGTTGCTAATCGAGTGGTAGAAATAAGTGAGCTCACCGATTCGCAGTCCTGGCGATATGTTCCCACGGGTATGAACCCCGCTGACCTCATTTCTCGGGAGTTAATGCCACTCAATTGCTAGAAAGTAGACTTTGGTGGTCGGGTCCTACTTACTTAACGATGCCTGAGGATAGCTGGCCAATCTTAACGGCTGGAGAAGTGAATAAACACATCAAGGGTTCATAAAAATATTAAGTACCTACACAATACCAATCAACTTACCCCACTCACTATAAATTCATCACAGTCACCGCAAAGCGCAGGTGCGGCATCGTACGTACCTGAAAAAGAAATAAACAAAAAACAGTACACATTGTCTGCGAACGACTTAAATAAAACACCTCAAAATAAATTATATACTTACCTTAACACAAATGTACCGTTGCCAGTAGTATAGTAGGCTTAGCAATTTAATAAGAATCGTCGCATACGCTAAAAGATTTTGTTATAACATTCGCAATCTCAATAACAAACAGGTTTTATCTTTAACGAATTACTAAGTTAGATGACTCATTCCATTATTTATGTCGAATAGCTCAACATGAATGCTTTCCGAAAGAATACAATGCGATTTCTAATAATAAACCATTAAGTAATAAGTCAAAAATATTAAGCTTATCACCTTTTTTTTTGATAAAAATACCGGCTTAATTATAGTAGGCGGGAGGTTAAGCTCTTCACCCTATAGTTTCGACAAAAAACACCCGATATTGTTAGATTCTGTTAAGGATTAAGGGGATAATTAAAGATACAATGACATAAAACGTGTCTTTTATTAATATCTCTAAACAATAAAGGAGTGCGTATAACCTACAGAGCCTTGCTTGACAACCGAAGCAGTGTTGCCATTACAATCCAATATTATATTAAGTATGTTCAATAAATCATTGTTAATTAACACCTCCCCCCAATGATTAATATTAACAGAACCAACATTACACTAATTTCTAACATTACAATGAATAAGTAAGAACTAACATTACAATGGCTTGTATTAACAGAACTAACAAACTAAAAATACACAATGCGAACTAAACTTTATTCCAATCCTAATTTATGTACAAAATAATTATGAGAGGTTCTATTTAATGGTTTCGTAAAAATATCGGCTATTTGTTGCTTTGTAGGTATATGCATAACACAAATTTCCTTACATTCTATTTTATGTTTAATAAAGTTGTATTTTACGTCCACATGCTTCATCCTTTTTTGATCAGGATTACATACAGAAAACATTGTACTTTTATTGTCTTCATATATGGTAGTGGTATTACAACTAACGTCTAACTCATTTAATAATTTCCTAATCCAACAAGCCTCCAGAGCGGCTTCATTGAGGGAGTATAACTCTGCCTCAGTAGTGCTTAAAGCTACAGTACTCTGCTTTTTGCAACGCCAAATAACACTGTTGTCAAACACTTTAAATACATAACCAGTTATAGATTTCCTATCTTTACCTACTGCAAAACTAGCATCAGCATATCCAACTAGTGGTTCGGAATTACAATTCTTATAATATTTTAAATTATAATTAATGGTACCCTTCATCAACAGCCTATAATCGTAAACTGCTGGACATAGGCCTCTCCTAAGAAAGGAGGTTTTGGCCTACTTGGTACCCTTAATGTATCTTAAAATCCTTTTCAAGCATTGCCATAACCTTTCTGATGGTCTAGATTGATATCTTGCTAAATATGAAACAGCAGCACACAAATCAGGTCTTGAACCTACTACAGCATACATTAAAGAACCTATACAAGCTCTGCATTTATGCTCTAAAGAGTAATCAACCGTACAACCATCAAGATTAACATTAACTTCCATGGGTGATTCACTAGGATTTGCTTCAGACATACCAAAATTTGTCAATATAGATTCTAAATACTCTTTCTGGTTAATATACAAACAGTCACTATCCTGAATAATATTAATACCCAAATATTTTAAATTTTTAGATCCTAGATCTTTCATTTTAAATTCTGTATTTAAAGTTTCTTTAAAATTATTTATCCTTGAATTATCCTCACCTATAATTAATAAATCATCCACATATAACAAAATGTAAATACCATCCCTTAAATATAAACAATAATCACTTTCTGCCCTTTGAAACCCTTTACTTTTCATAAAATCATAAAATTTATTGTACCAATTTTTTGAAGATTTTTTAAGACCGTAAAGTGATTTTTTTAATTTCAAGACATAATTTTTATTTATATTTACACCAGGTGGGGGCTTTAAGTATACAATATCATCAATTTCACCATGAAGGAAAGCACCTTTAACATCCATTTGATGAATTAAATAATTCCTTAAAAGTAATTCCTTAAACTTAAAAATGGGTAGTTGAAAGGTCAACATACAACATAAAAGCTCTTAATAATTAATTGAAAAATAAAATAAAATAACTACATTTTACATAAATTTAATGAATATAATAAGTCATCAACAATAAATACCTGCTGGTCAAGTGTTATATCCTAAATTAATAACTAAATCATAAGTGCAAAATACGTATTAATCACAGGACTACTATGAAGAATATACAGGAGTTGCAAGACTGCTTTGAGAAGAGGATGGCAAACTTTGAAGCGGAACTCTTAAAGAAAACCTCCAATGCTGCTAGCCTGGCTGGTCTCACGGAGGACTTCACTGTGTTTAAAACTCTTGTTCTTGAGACCTTGAGGTACTTCCAAAGCCAGATCGAGGTGATTGCGAATGAGGTGGACAACATAGAGACACGCAGCCGCCGCAAAATGCTTCTTCTTCATGGTATCACAGAGAAAAAGGATGAGATCACATCTCAAGTGGTGGCCGAGGTAGCGGAACATAAATTGCATTTTGAGTCGTTTGCCCCTGAAGACATAAGCCGCTGTCACAGGATGGGTCGACAATCATCAGGTGAGAAACCAAGACCCATTCTAGTAAAATTTAGGACAGTAGCAGTGCGGGACAGAATCTGGACATCTAAGACCAAACTGAAAGGCATTGGTGTGACCCTCTCGGAGTTCCTGACTCGGTCGCGACACTCAGCCTTCATGGCAGCACGTGAAGAGTTCGGGATCACGAAATGTTGGACCAAAGAAGGCTCCGTATATGTTTTGGCTCCTGACGGTTCACGCTACCGTATAACATCTGTGGCAGACCTTAATAAGATAAAGCCAGTAGTTGCAGAAAAACCTAATGTTAACAAAAACCCAGCTTCTAAGCCGAGAAGAGCGGCTACCGGTTCTAGAAGATAAGTTCATATGTTTTCTGCATACGGTGTCTCAATGTAACGTTACACTGTCTGGGTGGATTACACGTAAGAATCACTTCCAATATACCCTCTTTACTTATATTGCCATAATAACTGTCTAGTTATCACTTTCTACCTTAATAAAATTAGCTTATTTATTATTCCACTTGACATACAATACAAATTATTAGTGAGCTATCTGTCAAAATTGCGTTCCAGTCAACATATTTTCTTTTTCAAAACACTCGTTTCGCCTTTATTACTAGTGATTTGGAACATAGGCTTTTCACACAAGTAAGTTCACCCAGATACTTGATGCGTTCCGTTGCTAATTTTACGTATAATCTAAATTTCTTTTTTTTTTCTTTTCTTTGCTGTTTTGCTGTGCTGCAAATTAAGTTATAATATCTCTTACCGCTATAAATGTTAAACACACGACTGGCGGGTGGACCAAAATGATAGTATAATTTTTTTAGATAATTATTTGTATAATTTATATAAATTTTTCTTCTTTTATTTCATTTATATAAATATATATATATATATATATATTACTTAATATCACTGTTGTTATCTATTAGGTTATTATTTTAATACATCACAATGTCTGATTTGGACAATAGTGATGTTGATAGTTTTTACTCCACGAACAGCCTTGACACTAGTTTTGTTAGCATACCTTCACTCCGAGAAAATCTACACTATCAATTTTCGGATGCACCGCAGCATTTTAATGTAGTCCATATTAATGCCCAAAGTATTCCAGCCCACTTCTCTGATATGCTGGCTACCTTTGATTGTAAAAACATACACGCCATTTTAGTCTCAGAGACATGGTTAAAACCATGTCTACCATCCATATCATATACTCTTCCAGGTTTCCACCTGATAAGGAATGATCGTGCGATTGGTGGCGGGGGTGGTGTTGGTATATATCTACGACAACATATTCCCTTTACCATTGTAAATATGTCTTCACAACCCCCCCCCCACCGGACGCAGGTGAGCATCTCTTTTTAGAACTGGAACTCAATCACGCGAAAGTTTTACTCGGTGTTTACTACTCGCCATCATTACGTACTAACTACTTTTACTCGTTCGAAAATATGCTAGAAAAATTATCTCCTTCATATAGTCACACAATAGTAATGGGCGACTTTAATACTTGTTTAATGAAAAGTGACTGTCGATCTTCTCTGCTGCGCAGGGTGGTGGACTGTAATAATTTATCACTTTTAAGACTTGATGCTACTCATCATTTTCCTAACTGCACTCCCTCTCTTCTTGATCTTATTATTGTCTCCTCTACTGATCATGTCATTAACCATGGCCAGTATCCAGCTGATGCATTCTCCTATCATGATTTGATATTTCTTTCCTATGCTATCCGCCCACCCAAGGCAAAGCCGAGAATTCTTGTGCAACGCAACTTTAGCGGGATGGATCTTATTAAGCTGAAAGAGGATGCCGGTAACATTGACTGGTCTGTCTTAATAAACTCGCAGTGTATAAATGAAAAAGTACAAATATTCACTGAAAAGATATTAGAACTATATAACGTGCATGCACCCCTGCGATCGATCAAAATGAAACATTTACCGGCTCCATGGCTTACCGAGGAGATACGGCAGATCATGTCTAAGAAATGTTTAGCGAAAAATAAGTACAAGCGTCGACCCACGGATATTAATCTATAAAAATATGTGTACCTGAGAAATCTCTGCAATAAGATGTGTAGAAATGCACAACGCCAACATATCCATTCTTCCGTAGACAACGGAGACCCAGCAAAAGTCTGGAAATTTTTAAGAACATTGGGAGTTGGGAAGTCTCGCCAAGACTCTCTTCCTAAAAATATAAACATTGATTTACTTAATAAACATTTCTCTATCTCGTCTGAAATTAATGACAACATTAAAGCTAATACTCTTAGACATATTTCTTCTACCCAAGCTCCCGACTATCCACCTTTCGTCTTTGATCAGTTGTCCGCTTGTGACGTTAAGAAGACCATTCTAGCGATTTCATCAAATGCAGTAGGGTGTGACTGTGTTAGCCGAAACATGATTCTTCCTATCCTAGACGAAATCCTATCCATCCTATGCAATATCCTGAATCACTCCGTGACAAGCGGTGTTTTTCCATCTGCATGGAAAGATGCTCAACTAATCCCTCTACCTAAAAAAGTTAAACCCTCTTCCTTTTCTGACCTTAGGCCTATTTCTATTTTACCTTTCTTGTCCAAAGTGCTTGAACGTCTCATCCACTCTCAACTGAGTAGCTTCCTTTCCAAAAATTCTTTACTGAACCCCTTCCAATCCGGCTTTCGTCCTGGTCACAGCACAACTTCTGCATTAGTTCACATTACCGATAGTATCAGACTAGGCATGGATAGTGGAATGATTACAGTACTCGCCTTACTTGATTTTAGCAACGCTTTTAATACTGTAGATTTTCACATTCTGCTTGGTATACTGCGGTCTCTTAACGTATCTCCAAGAACAATTGATTGGTTTCATAGTTACCTGTCTGGTCGCCGGCAACGTATTTGCATTGAAGACTCGGTGTCTTCCTGGTGCAGTATTTCTGCTGGTGTACCACAGGGTGGCGTTTTATCTCCTTTACTCTTCGCTGTTTTTATAAACTCCATCTCTAATCAGTTAAGTTCGTTCTATCACCTTTATGCAGACGATTTACAAATATATACACAAGCCCCGCTTACCTTGTTATCGGGGGCATTCAACAAAATCAATGCTGACCTATCGCGCATCGGCGAATGGAGTCATAATTATGGACTCAAGGTCAATCCTAAAAAGACTCAGGTATGTGTGATTGGCAGTCCTGGGCTGGTCTCAAGAATTAACTGGACACAAATGCCGCAAATTGAATTCGAAGGCACTACACTTGAGATCAGTACTAGTGTTAAAAATTTAGGAATTAGCATAGATAATAATTTAACTTGGGGCCCACATTTACAAGAAGTTAGTCGTAAGATATTTGCTTCTGCCGGGTCCATGCGAAGACTACGTAACTTCCTACCGACTGCAACTAGGGCTGCACTTGCGCAAGCACTTCTCCTCCCAATTCTCGACTATGCCGATGTCAGCTATCTGAATCTCACTGAAGCCCAACTTGATAAGCTTGAGCGACTTCAAAATTTCTGTATACGATTTGTATTTGGACTAAGAAAATATGATCACGTTTCTGAATTCCGTCTAAAGCTCAAGTGGCTTCCGATTCGCTCTCGCCGGAATACTCATATACTCATTTTTCTCTATAACATCTTGTTCAATCCCAGAGCCCCCTTTTACCTCAAAGAACGGTTCAAGTTCCTTCATGACACACATGAAAAGTGTCTGAGGTCATCCGAAGATTTGAGGCTTGAGATGCCTCTGCATTCTACAAAATTTTACGACCAGTCTTTTACTGTTCAAGCTGTACGCTTGTGGAATGCACTGCCGATAAACATAAGGCGAGCGAAAACCATAAACAGCTTTAAGAAAATGGTCCAAGAATTTATGGTATCGTAATTAAGACAGCTACTTCCTCGTGTTAAGGTATGATTTGAATGCTTTTCTTTTTTTTGTTATATGTGATATTGTATAAGTACTTATGTATGTATAAGTATTTGTTTTTATGAATGTAGATATGTATGTGTATTTGTATAAATATATGTGTGTGTGTGTGTATATTTCTTATATTATATATATATGTAGTTATTATCTCTTTTATATTCGTTAGTAATTAACCTGAAAACTCAATTCACCATCAACTACTACTATCTCTCCCGAACATTTTGATCCATCCTATGGTTGCCTGGAAGAGATTGCTCATAGCAATAAGGCCGCCCTTTGTACATTGTATATAACACTTTCATGTAACTATCATGCTTCTTGTAAAATGGTGTACAAATAAAGAGTTCTATCTATCTATCTATCTATCTATCCTTTGAACAGCAACTGATAAAAAAACTCTGAGAGTTTGCAATTTCAAAACTGGAGAATAAATGTCGGTAAAACTACCTTCCTGTTGAAACCCCCTTGCAACTAATCTAGCTTTATATACATCACCCGCCTTTTTTGTAAAAATCCATCTACAATCAATTAACTTAGCATCTTTTGATTTTTTTACAACTTCCCAAGTCTTATTATTCTCTAAAGATTTAATTTCTTCATTTACCGCTTCATACCACCTATTTTTATCGTCATAAGAATCTATATCATCATACTTTTCCGGGACATTACCATTAGAACAAGATAAAAATGATGCCATTAATATAAAATCCAAATCAGAATCATCAGTGACAAATTCTTGTAAATATTTTGGTTTAGTTTTCTTTCTTTTCTCCCTAGAATTAACATCATCTGTATCCCTTCCCTCAGGTTTAAATGACTCTAAATAATTATCAGAAGTTAAAGGGGTTTTGGTTTTCTCAGGACTACTACTACTATCTTTTTCTTTCTTATCCGAGACAGATTCTACATCAATACTAATAGTTTCAGGGGACTCTGAACATGTTTCTTCCCTAAACAATACATTTCGTTCTATGTATATCCTCCTTTCATTAGCATCCCATAATCTGTATCCCCCAGGAGCATACCCAACCATTTTCAATTTCACACCACGAGGATCCAACTTCATTCGGAGTTTTTGGGGAATATGGGCATACGCAGATGACCCAAATATTCTAAAATTAGAAACATTAGGACGTCTTCCCTCCCACATTTCAAATGGTGTAGCATTGAACGAAGCAGTGGGACTACGATTAGTGACATATACCGCATATCGCAGGGCCTCGCCCCACAGCTCTTTAGGAAGCTGTGAATCTAACAATAATACACGAGCTTTTTCAGTCAGATTACGATTCATTCTTTCAGCTACTCCGTTCATCTCGGGATTATATGCAGCAGTATACTGCAATACTATGCCCTTATCATCACAAAAAGATTTAAAATTTCTAGAAATATACTCACCACCATTATCTGACTTTAACTTCAATATACCATGACCAAAATGATTACAAGCATAATTATAATAAGTCTTAAAATATTCAAAAACTTCAGACTTGTCTCTTAATAAGTAAACTGCGGTGAAGTGGGTAAAATCGTCTATGAAAGTAACAAAATGTTTATACCCGTCCCACGTAGAAGGGCTAACAGAACAAACATCGGTATGTACTAGTTCTAAGGGTTTCCGAGCCTTATACATTTTCCCATTAAAAGGAAGGCGTGTAATCTTAGCAAGAATGCATGGTTCACAATGTCTATTTTCTAATTTTTTTTCTTTCAAATCAGTTAAACCATCAACCATATTTTTATTTACTAAAGTTTTCAAACTACTATAGCTTAAATGAGAAAATCGTTTGTGCCAAATTTCTACTGAATTATCACTGGTGTCTGATTTTGCACCGTAATAACAATAATTAAATATTACTTTAAATTCTATAAAATAAAGGGACCCTAGTCTATGCCCAACCATAAGCAATTCATTGGTTTGTGAGAAAACTTTAACTTCCCCTTTATTAAAGATGATCTTTAAACCATGCTTTTCCATTTTGGAAACAGATAATAATTTTTTTCTTAATTGTGGTACATAATACACATCATTTAATATAATATCAACTTTAAAATCACTTAAATAACCTTTTATTGTCTTTATACCAACAGTCTCTAAATCAATGCCATTTTTGGCAGCTGAAATTTTAATTGGCTTATCCAGTTTACAATAATTAAAGAATAAACTAATGTCATTTACAAGATGAAATGAACTACCTGAGTCAACAACCCATTTAAAACTATTTTTATTCTGCTGTTCGGTGTCAGGGCTAAAGGATACAAAACTTACAAATTTGTTACCTTCAGTATTTTCAGTGCCTGTAAGAAATGACTTTCCTCTACCTCTCCCTTGGGTCTGGTAATGAGTTGCCTTACTGTCGTCTCGGCCTCCGTTGTATTTCCAGTCGCTACGTCCACGGCCGTGAAGTCTCCAGTCACCAGCCTTGTGCGGTGCCTGCTGAGTACTCCTACACTGGATTTTTTTGTGTCCAGGGCGTCCACATCTATAACACAAGAAGATTGAAGAGTTAAGGGATTTGGTAGCTCCTCTGTTGTGTTTTTCCTCTTCCCCAAGCAGTCTGTTTTTCACGAAGTCCATTTTCAATTCCTCCACAGTTTCCAAAGCCGTGATAATGCCTTCATAAGATTTCGGCATGGATAGGAGTATATAGTTAACCTTCTCTTCCTCCGAGAGCTCACTGCCAGCATCCCCGAGTTGTGCAAATAGCTTTTCCATGTCAATAAAATGTTCCATTAAAGGTTTCCGTTCGTCGAATTTCATATCGGACAACTCTCTTCTTATAAATAATTTAGATCTTGTACTTTTCTTCTTAAAACTGTCTTCCATGCTTTTAATCATTTGATAAGCAGATCTGTCCTTTAAGTATTCGAGGTGACTGTCGGCGGTTGCCGCTATTATGACAGCCTGGGCCTTAGCTTCTAATTGCTTCTTATCCGCAGATTTACTAAAGTCCTCCTTTTCGATCGCCTCTATTACTCCATTATCCCGCAGGATACTTTTCAATCGGAATTCCCACGCGTTGTAATTGTCCACCGCGAAAGGGACAATTTGATATTTTTCTTTTGACATTTTCTGTCCTTTAACACTTAATCCACTATAAAACGCGATGGCCGTCCTGGGCCCATAACCCTGTTAAGGATTAAGGGGATAATTAAAGATACAATGACATAAAACGTGTCTTTTATTAATATCTCTAAACAATAAAGGAGTGCGTATAACCTACAGAGCCTTGCTTGACAACCGAAGCAGTGTTGCCATTACAATCCAATATTATATTAAGTATGTTCAATAAATCATTGTTAATTAACAGATTCTACTCACTATTTGACTAAACTTTTGTTCGAAAGAGAACATTTACGTCACATGCATGCCGGTCCGCAGCTATTGTTATCACTGATAAGAGAAGTCGTGTGGCCGGTAAACCGCAGAAGGTTAGCTCGACGCACTATTTATAATTGTGTGCGTTGTTGTCGCCTTCGAGGTAAAACCCTTTGTCCTAAGATGGGTAATCTGCCTTCCCAATGTGTGACGCCAGGTTTTCCATTCAGTTCAGTGGGAGTGGACTTTGCTGGACCCTTTTCTATAATAAACCGTAAAGGTAGGGGCGCAAGGGTTGTGAAATGCTATCTTTGTTTGTTTATTTGTCTCCGGTATAAATGCGTGCACTTAGAAGCCGTGAGTGACCTAACTAGGGACGCGTTCATTATGACGACGTGGCAAACCAATTGAACTATTTTGTGACAACGGGGGTAATTTCGTGGCTGCAGCCAGAGATGTGGGACAATTCTTAAGGGCAAACAGCAGGGGTTTCACCGACTTTGCAACTCAAGAAGTTATAAAATTTATGTTCTCACCTCCGTTCTCTCCTCATTTTGGTTCCATCTTTGAAGCCGTAATTAAGTCGGCTAAGCACCACATTAAAAAGATAATGGGGAACTCTCACCTAACATTTGAGGAGATTACCACCCTTTTTGCACAAGTAGAATCAGTTCTGAATAGTCATCCTCTATGTCCCCTATCCTCATCCCCTGATGATTACCTACCTCTAACCCCAGGGCATTTTTTAATTGGAAGGCCCCAGAGGTCAGTACCAGCACCTAATTTAGAAGCTGTAAAGGAAAGCAACCTGCAGCGGTACAATCGTTTACAGCAGATATTCCAGCATTTCTGGACACGATGGCAGCCTGAATATATCCACGAGTTACAACAACGCACGAAGTGGAAAAGCAGCACTAGATCTATAAGTGTTGGGGACCTGGTGCTAATACAAGAGGATTATGTGCCTCCGTTATGCTGGCGTCTTGGACGTGTTAATCGCCTGTTGCTAGGAGCGGATGGTATCTCTAGAGTAGCTGACATCATAACCACGAGAGGGGTGCTTCGTTGAGGTCTCGTCCGGCTGTGCCCCTTACCAACAGTTGAAGAAATGCAGCGTTGAAACTCTTTCAACGGGGGGGAGGATGTTCAGGCCACGCCTAACTTACTACAGCTGGCAATCACAGTGCGCACTTAATGTGCAACAAATACATCAGGCGCATCATCGTGACGGTGTTTATAATTAGTTTATGTAACAAATAAATGTATATAAATAGGACCGACAAGGGTCTCGAACACCCACTTTCTTCTTGTACTCGAAAGCTGTCGCTGGTCTTATACTAAAATAAATTCACAAATGTAATTACAATCAAGAAGTTTTATTATATGGAAGGTGTCTGCATAGACAATAGGATCCAGAGAGTGAAAGTTAATGGACAGAGATCCCTGGGGTCTCTGGTCACTATGGGGGTTCCGCAGGGCTCAATTCTATGCCCATTTTTATTTCTTGTTTACATAAATGACCTACCTAATGTGATAAATGATAATCAGGAGATAGTACTATTTGCGGATGACACTTCACTTTTATTTAAACTTAAACGACAGCAATCAGTAACTGATGACGTGAATAGCACTCTCTCTAAGGTTGTGAAATGGTTTAATGTTAATAATTTACTATTAAACGAGAGTAAAACGAAATTTATTAGAATTTTTACACCTAATGTTACTAATAAATGGAAAGGAGTTGGATCTTGTGGACAACACCAAGTTTTTAGGTATAACACTAGACTCTAAATTGCAATGGGGCCCACACATTGACGAATTGTCGAATAGACTCAGGTTTATAAAATTCGTCAATTAACCGATGTAGAAACAGCTAGACTGGTGTATTTTAGCTATTTTCATAGTGTAATGTCATACGGTATTTTGTTCACTGAGGGATAATTTTAAAGAAATTGGTATCATGACAGTCGCATCTCAATGCATATTATTATATGAAAATTTAGTGTATGTAAAGAAAAATAATCATTTATTAACTAAGTTTAGCGACATTCATAAAATAAACACTAGAAATAAAGATAAACTCGTGTTACCAACCACTAGACTACAAAAAGTAAGCAAGTCTTTTCGTTGTCAGGGTGTGCGATTTTACAATAAAGTGCCAAGCAAATTCCATAAATTAAGTATTAACAAATTTAGGTCTTTAGTAAAGCTAAAACTATGTGAAAAGGCTTACTACACTATTACAGATTATTTAGAGGACAAATTTGCTTCGGATTGATGCTGCTCACTCCCACATTTACGTAGACATCTTTGTTGTTAAGTTTGAAAGTGATGGACATTTAATTATTTTTTTTGGTGTATTTCGTATTTTGCTTTCGTATTTTATTTTTCGTTGAATTGTATGGTATATTTTTAATTTTTTGTGTAAGTATGTAAATGTGAGTATAGTGTAGGCTTGTAATGTTAATTCATATTTTATTATCTTTCTGGTGGTTTTGAGTGTTTCCACGGCCTACCCAAATGTCCTGCTGGCGGTAGTGTCATGCTTCGGGTCGTTGATCTTGACCAATATCGGTTAGGCTACACGATGGCTGGAGCCTGTATGCCGTCTGTATGGGCAGGCGGACTCAAAACTATGGTCCTTTCCTCAAAAGGCCTATCCAGACCCTATATTGTACTCGCACAGTTTTATTTTATTCAGATTTAAAAAAAAAGACACCTCTGTAGTTTGTTTCGGCGTTTCTTCCCAGAGTGAGTCTTAGGAAATGCCGGCTCCTTCTAGCTATAAAGTCCGACATGAAAACATATCTGAAAAGATTTACTTACAAAAAAATAATAATCAAATAATCACTAACACTGCCACCGAGCAGGCATTGGAAGATTTTGTGTTCCCGCCACCGTCGGCATATCGTAATCCCGAAAAGAGTCTCGTAGTTATATCTTGCGATTCCGATCAGTGGACGAGGGTCTTGGGTTTGCCGCCCGGACTGCGAGGAAGAAAACCTCTATAAAAATTCCTCCGAGTCCCGTGTTCTGGTGCGTGGCCAGTGGATGCATTGCTGATGGGTAGCTCAGTCGCAAGCGCACTCCCGGCCGAGGCTTGCCCAGTTTATAGTAAACTCTACTCTCACTTCCCTTCGCGGCACTGTGCGACTAACGTGTGACTTCATATGCTAACAATTTAAATATTATTTTCTGTGTTTTTCTGCGATTAGTTCCGGGTTTGTGGGCGGCTAAAGGTTGTGTTTAGTGTTTTAAAGAATATCAGTAAGTTCTTATTGTTTTTTAAACAGAAATATAGTGCTGAATTATTTTATTACGACTATTGTTGAGTAAATTTATTTTCTTTCTAAAAGTGGGTAGGAGGTATCCTTTGCTTATATTGATATTTCTCTGCGTGTTGTTTATTTTTAAACTTGTTCTTTTTTAAATTGTTGTTTGGCTATGTCGGTCGTTAGCAAGTTGCCGGATCCCGGCGGTACAAGTGAATTTCTAACACCAACCGGGAAAAGGACATTTAACGAAATGTCACCTACGGATTTCTCGCCGAAAGACAACAGAAGTAAACGCATTAATAATTCGGATTTAAGTGGAAATGTTGCGTGTCTTAGCGGTCGTGATAACTGTGGGGAGTACAATTACTGCGAGTTAGTCTCACAGGCTATCGATTATTTGGCAAAAATTAATGAATTAGTTAATGATCGGGGATCTCGGATGAATGTAGGTAAAACGGCAATTATGAATATTACTCAACGAATTACCGGTATCGTATCCTTGTTAGCAATAAAATCAACGCAACGAAGTTAGCGAATTTTGAGCGACAAATGGAGGGTATCGCAACTCAACAAACGAGTTTAACGTACGCGGACAAACTTAAGCTTTGCTTACAACCTAAATCTACCCCGTGCCCGGTACCTACTGAAGCGCGCGTTTCTAGGCCTTGTGTTATTGCCTATCCCACTAAGGAACGCTTAGTGGACTATGCGATCACATCCGCAACGGAACAAGCTCTCATGAAGGCTATTAAACCGAGCGATGAGGGATTCCAAATTGTAGGCGTTAAAAAAAAACCTCTAAGGCAGGCGTCGTGTTACGTGTAGCTAACGAACAGCAGCTTAAGAAACTGGAATCTGTAGACGCCATTAAATCAGTAGGGTTACGATTAGAAAAATCGAAAGGCCGTAAGCCCCGTATAATTGTAAAAGACGTACCCGGTTCTACGGAAGATCGTGCCTTCCTAACAGCCTTATACCGTCAGAATATCAAGGACGAATTAAAATTAAGTGAGAACGATTTTATTAAGTCGACCAAAATTGTTAGGCATCGTAAACTAGAAAATGGGTTTCAATGGATAGGCTTAGAATTAGAGGCAGCAGTTCGGAAACATGTAGCCAACACAAAAGATAAACTTAATATAGACTGGGCCACATGTAGATTCATAGACGTAGTTTTTTGTCAACGTAGTTCGTTGCTTAAATTGTCAGCAATTCGGTCATGTACAAATTTTTGCACCATTAAAAAACCTACTTGTGCTAATTGCGACGCCGCACACGAAACGCGAGCTTGTACAGATAAAGACACATCAGATTTTAAGCCCACGTGCGCACAGTGCGTCGTAATGTAGTACAGCTTGACTGCCGTTCTCAGGCTGGGATATATGTTGCAAGTTCTAATTTTACGGTAACATCTTTGCGTAATCTTATGACGTCACACTGCGCCGTTGCTGAGATCTCATCCTCTACCTGTAAGGT